AGGGGGGGGGGGGGGGGGGAAAGAAGCTCTGATTGGCTCGGAGTAACCCGGAATCAAAATTAGGGCTTCGTTGGAAATCGGGTAAAATGTACCTGACCCGACCCGATAATAAAGGCTGGTAACAAACTGGGCCGCCAGGTAGAGTCCAATGTCCTTCCCTCGCAGACAGGGCCGAATGAGGCAACTCGGTACTAATAAGAAGTTCCATCTTGGTTTTTTTTTTTTTGGAATTATTTTCTTACCTCCATTTAAAGAAAAAGAAAATGTGTACTTTTTTCTTTTTGCCTTTTTCTATTGAGAAACGAAAAAACAAAAAAAACAAATGAACACCAAAACAAAAGACCTACGAAATTTGAACAAATTCATAAATATTGTGACTTCCACATTTTCGTTACATCCCTTTGAGTGTGGAGCCATTTAGTTCATTGTCCCAAAATAAGTTTTAATATTACAATGCAATTTTGAAAATTTAGGTTTAATTTTCCATTTCTCAATATCTTTTAATATACGAGAAGTATTTAATATTGAATTTGAAAATTGTTCTAAATTTAAAAATGATGAACTTGCATGCGAAAGCAAAAATATTACATTTAATTAACATCACACCCCCACCAACTAGTCTTTCATCTAGTGGTATTTGTCTCCAATTGATTGGAGGAGGTCTCAGGTTCAATTCATATAGATGATGATGGCGATATATATTTGTGATGAGTTCAATAAGTAATTGTTGTGTATCTTTGTTGTAGGTGTATTGGCCCGTTGCATGGATGTACCGGTCCATAACAATGTTATTATAGAAAATCAACAATATCAATAGTATTTACATAATATTGACACTTTATTTATGTCATATCAAGGCTCTTTGAGATTTTGTCTACAAAATAAATAAATAAATATTATGTGAGATTATTTGCTATCGAAATAATGAGATAATATAACCAAGGTGGTTGGTGTGAGTGGTTCGGCACTCTAATTCCTTAAGAGAGGTTAGGGGTTCGATCCTTGCTCTCGTATGAAGCCACCACTTTGGCCAGCACTTTACCCCTTATGGGCCGACCGGTGTGAGCGGGGATTAGTCTGGGTTATGGTTAAGGCTTAAAGGTGCCACCTATAGTTGGGGCCCATCCAGGACCACCTCGTGATTCAGACAAAAAAAATAAAATAATGAGACAATATTTTTACCAAAAAAAAAAAGAATGGGACAATATTGATAGTATCAGCATCATATCGAAATAATATATAATAGCATTGTTTGCTACAATAATAGTACTATTTGAGAACGAGTAATGCTATTTGGACACACAACATTGACACACTTAGTGACACCCGCTGATGTGTCAATGTATCATTTGTTCTTCTTTTTTCCTCGTTTTCTGTTCAGCGAATGATACATTGACACATCAGCGGGTGTCAACTAAGTGTGTCAATGTTGTGTGTCCAAATAGCATTACTCTTTAAGAACTTTACTACAATAATAGTGATATTTTGAGAGAATTTCTCAAAATTATATAAAACTTGTGTCATTTTTGTTTTGTTTGTCTTTTTTAGTGGGTTATGTCTTCTTTCTCTCTCCATTTTCTTACAAAAAAATTATCAATATTGACCTTACTTTTGTGAGTTAGGCTTAAACAAAGAAATGAAGCTCAAACTCAAGTTGGTTTGTTGAAGATTAGTATAATCACAATTCCCAAACTAAGTTAGAGCAATTTATAGACTAAAGATCTTTTGATGGGCCAAAACTTACATGTAATGAGGTGATAACTCCTCTTTCCAGGTGATGAGAGATGCTGAGAAATAGAATGATCTCGTGACAAGTAAGGTTCCCAAATGATACAATTTTAACTAAAAAAACTGTCAAATTAATCTGTTACCAAAAGGAAAGGAAAAAAAAATGTCAATTTGTATGAATACATAAATAGCCCAATATTATATAAATTATTTAAATTAAAAATATTCGCATTTATATCTATATATGTAAAGTAAATGACCGTTATATTTAATTTTTCAATAATCAAAAAATGCATATATATCAAAATACAAGTACTTCGTTTTTAAAGTATAAATACGTAAAATAATAATGTATTAAAATGCAAATCATTTTATAAAAAAAAGAGTTCATGTTCAAATTAAAAGACTCTATTTACACTTTCATTATATATTTTTATTTGGGTTATATACTCTCTATGTCACAACACAACTACTGGTTTGTCGACCTAATTTCTAAAAACTAAGATTTGAAATTTGCATGTAATAAAACTTCCAAAATCAAATTTCAAAAATCGTGAAAAATAATACAAAGAAAAATCTAAAAATTAAAAGTTAAAATCCTTTTACAATTGTGAAAAAAAAATAAAGAAAAAATCACAAGGCGAGACCTTGTGAGAGCTACCGAGAGAGAAGAAACGAAGAGAGAGAAAAACAAAAGAAAGAAATAGAGAGAGAGAAAAGAGAAAGAGAGAGAGAGAGAGAGAGAGTAGCAGAAGCGATCGAGCTACACAGAGCGAAGTTCGAATATAAATCAGCAACACCAAAAAATAAAAATAAAAAAGCAGTGAAATTTTCAAAAAGAAAAAAGAAAAAAGAGAGGAAAAGAGCCGAAGAGAGACAGAGCGAGAAAGCGAAAGGCAAAGCTCCGAAGTCACTAAGGTTCGATTTTCTCTGCAATTCGCCGAGCTCGTTAAGGTCAGAGTTCAATCAATCTCGAAAGCCCTCTCTCACACACACTCCCCAAGCTTTACTATTTAATTTTTTGTTTTGGCGCTTCATTGCGCTTTTTTGTTCCTCTGCAATTCGATTTTTCTGCAATTCAAGCTCTGTTTCCTCAACTTCAATCCGTCCAATTCACTGATCTCATTCCCTGAACTTCAAATTTCGTGTCTTGAAGTTGAAAGCTTGTGAATTGCGTGAAATAAATTATGGGTTTGGATTGGCGCGGTGGTGTAATTTATTGTTCATTGGAGTTTGTAAAGAGTATGGTCGTCTGAACCCAAATTTTGGTGATTCAAAGTTAGGGTTTTTGATTTATAATGGTTTTCAATAAATTAAGCTTCCCTATGTGTCTTTTTGTTGGGATTTAGCGAGCTGTGTACTGGGGTTGATCTCTAGGGTTTTGGTCTTGAGAAGATGGGATTTGGTTTTGCATTGTGTGGTTTGTGGGTGGGACAATTTGGGGTCGTTTGGAAACAAGGGTAACCGTATTCCAGTTTGAGATTGGGGGTTTTGGGGGTTTTTTTGATTTGGTGGATGGTGTGTGCCTCTGTTTGTCGGGATATGCAGAGTGTTGAGATTGATTTGCAATGAACGATATGGAGGAGTGCAAATTCTGGGTTTTCTGGAAACAGTATTAACGGTAATTTGGCTTCTGGTGGGAGTTACTGGGGGATTTGCAGTTTCTTGTGGATGGTGTATGAATCTGTTTGTTGAGAAATGCAACCTCAGCAGTTCTCTAGAATTGATTTGGGTGATTTGAAAGCGCAGATAGTGAAGAGGATTGGGGCCGAGAGGTCAAAGCGGTACTTCTATTACTTGAATAGGTTGTTGAGTCAGAAGCTGAGCAAGAAGGAATTTGACAAGTTGTGTCACCGGGTGCTAGGAAGTGAGAACTTGCCACTGCACAATCATTTTATACGGTCAATCTTGAAGAATGCATGCCAAGCCAAGACCCCACCACCGATACATTCATCAGTTCCTGCAAAACCTGGGATACAAGCTGCAAACAGTTCTCCAAGTAGAGAAGATGGGCAGGAGCAAAGTGGGACCCTCTTTCCAAATCAAAATCAAAATGTACCCGTTTGGCAGAATGGGGTTTTGCCAGTGTCCCCACGAAAGGGTAGGTCCGGGATACGTGATCGGAAGCTAAGGGATAGACCAAGCCCACTTGGACCAAATGGGAAGGTCGATAGTGTGTCACATCAATCCACGGGTTCAGAGGATAATGGCAGTAAGGTTATTGTGGAAAATGGGGATGTGCATCCATATGATTATCAGAGACCAATGCAGCATCTTCAACCAGTTGCTGTGCTACCTGAGAGTGAAAGAGATGGTGCAGTTCGGCGACCCATAGAAAAACCACGGATACACAGCAAAGACCAGGCTAACTTAGCTGTTATTGAAGATGAGGAAGAGGTGGAACAATCAAACCGCTTAAGTTTCTCAAGAAGTCCTCTACTTGCGCCACTTGGGATCCCATTCTACCCAGCCAGCGTAGGTGGGGCCCGCAAAGCTTTGCCCGTGGGTAGCAGCTGTGATTTCGTTAGCTATTATGACAATGGGGGATTGTCAGATTCAGAGACGCTTAGAAAACGAATGGAGCAGATTGCTGCAGCACAGGGTCTTGGAGGTGTTTCTACAGAATGTGCCAGTATGCTGAATAATGTGTTGGATGTGTACTTAAAGCGATTGATTAGGTCCTGTGTTGAGTTGGTGGGAGCAAGGTCTACGTCAGAGCCAAAAAAGAATGCTGCACCAAAGCAGCAGATTCAAGGAAAGATCATCAATGGCATGTGGCCAAGCAATCACTTGCATATGCAGAGTGGCAGTGGCCCCGTGGAAGAGCAAAGACCACGGTGTTCAATATCTTTGCTTGATTTTAAGGTTGCAATGGAGCTAAATCCACAGCAACTTGGAGAAGACTGGTCATTGCTGCTGGAGAAGATTTGTATGCAAGCGTTCGAGGAATGAAACATCCCTGTGAAGATATATTCATCCCAACGTTGTGGTTGGGTCGGTCTGTTCTGGTTCAAAGGTCCTGACACCACCAGATGTTCGAGTCATTGATACAAATAATTCTAATCTCATTGCCAGGACGCACCAGATGGTTCCTAAGTGGGTAAAGTTTTGGGTCTCGCAAGGTGAAATCATCTGTTTGAGCATCAAATGTCAGAATTTGCTTGCTGCGGAGCCAGAACCGATCCAGAATGATCTAACTTAACCAATCAAGGGGTGCTTTCAAACTGAATGCCCATGTTTGGTTGTTCTGTTGTATGTTTAACGTAGATGCCGCTGTATTTGCTATCGCACCAGATCTCAAGCTTTCACTGTAATTGCAGCCAATGAAGAGGAAATATAAGAAAATTTTGCAGGGATACTGTTCTGTAGCTTGGTGAGAGGTACAATCGCTTGTGTAAGAGCTGCAGTATGCTCTGTATGTATTTTTAGAATCTTAGAATTGATTGAAATTTCAATATCAATAACACATTGACATCAATTGAGCTGTCCTTATGGCATGATTTTTTTTTTTGGTCAATGCCTGATGGCATGAATTTTTTTTTTTTCGGTCAATGCCTTATGGCAAGAATTTAGCTCTCAAAATATCCAGCTGCCAAATGATCATCCTCTACTCAGATGTTCTCGTACAGATCTGTGAATGTATATTCAACCATTGATCATGCAAATAATTGTGGTGGGTATACTTCAGCATGCAAAAACAGAAACACTATCACTCACATGTCTGAAACTACTGGCAATTGATTTTTGATTGGTAAGCTGTTTTTATCTCATTATTGCTGTTAAAAAATAAGTGTTTTTTCTACACGACCAGGACGGGAATCCAATTCAGCTGTTGCCCTGTTTCAACTTTGAAAAACTAGCCGTGACAGATTGAGCTTCATCATGAGGAGTTAAGCAAAAAATGGATAAAATATATCTAGAAGACTATAACTAACTTAAATGGAAAACAGTAACAGTGCAAATAAGCACATTCTGTCGCTATGTGCACATCAAATTCCGGTGTAGTATCGAGCTGTAGATATATATACTAGTCTGCAATGTGAGTATGGGACTTGTGGTAAATGCAGCATCCAGCCATGTACTCAATGTTGAACAAATGGTACAGCTCTAGATATTGTTTTGGTTTCGATTCTTGACTTAATCAGTCCTAATCAATCCTCTTATAGGTATGGAAATTAATTATTGGATTTATCACTTTATACTAATAAGCCTAGCCCCCATGTGTTCTCTCTTTTTCATTTCATCAGTTTGTACATGTACAGATGAATTTTCATTCTCATGCATTTGCCTCTGACTCTTCCTGCCTTCTTTTCTGCTACTTTTGAAACGTTAATTTTGGTATTTCCAATTCTAGTTTTATCTGTAACTTTCTTTTAATTGTGTTTTAGTTGTTTACTGTTTGCTACCAAAAATAACAGGACTGATGATGGGTCAGGTCCGGATGTTTCTTTTGGCCGATTGGTCAGGTTTCTGATTGGTCACTCTTTGAATTGCCTGTCTAGGATAGGTTGGGAACTGGGGGATGGCTGCATGGGTTTTATAGATTGCAAATGCATGACTTCACAGGACAGGAGGATTTGTTTTCTGCATCTTCATTAAATACTTGTTCTGCGATTTCTAGGAAAGCTTCAGATTAATCTTTGTCTGATATCTGTTATTGTTGAAATGACTCACAACCCATACACGTGTTTATAAAGCTGATGATAGTGAAAATCCAATCATTTGTGCTGCTATGGGATGGGAGAATGGAGCAAACAGAATCTCAGAGACAAATACATTGGTTTGAACCATCTGATGTGGCTGTTGGGATCATAGGTGACTTGTCTTTGGAACTGTTGTCATTAGTTGTTTAATGAGTAGCATTCATTATCTGACATCATCCTACGTCACTGCTGGTGTTGGAGTCTTTTCAGTGGAAAACCCACTAAACCAGTCTTAGATGTGTCTTCATTTGACAAGGCCATGGTTACTTGGAACTTGGAAGCTTGGAGACATGTGGACCTCAGTTATTGAATTTCCAAAGTGGGCAAAGCTCTGAAGAAAGTTCTAAAATGCCTCTTAGAAATGCCCTGGTTTTGCACTAAATGTTACCCTTTCCCACTGCGGTAGCTTATGTTATCTTTCAATATTGCTAATTGAGGACCAAGTTGAGGGGTCCTTGCGACTTGGGATTTTCTTCTCTCTCTCTCTTCTTCTTCTTATTTCTGCATTGTTATGGGGTAATTTTGTGGGTTCCACACCCATTGAGGCAGTGTTTTTAATGAAAAAAAAGACATTGATCGGTATTCACCATTGGTTTAAATCTAACGGCAAGTGACCATATTTTCCTTAGTCTGTGGTGATCAGGTCAACGAGACTATTATTAACCATGGATTTGCCGGTCGAGTTTTGTGAGAACCTTCTTTCATAGACTCATATTTTATTCTCTGTGGCTCTTGTGCATGAGAAGTGCAGGCAACACTTTGGAATCTTAGGATATTCATGATGTTGGCCTAAATGTGACATTTCTCAGCAGTACCAACTGAGCCTTTTCTAGGGGATACTCTTTTATCTTTTGCAAAGAAAAATGATTCTGTGACATCCCATAAATATTACTTGATTCTTCCCACAAAAATAAAAAGAGAGTTCTGAACAGTTTATGATTGAGATCAGGAAACAGGCGAAGATTGTTAATATTACTTAGGGTGTATCATGGAAGGGTATTTGGATGACAATACCAAAGTGTTTTCTTGAACATATATTATTGGCAAATTTATTCGAGTTGAACCGGAATTTCAATCACTGTTTTTCCAACCTCACTTTCAAAATTTGTCCAAGATCAATATCTTATACTGGTACCCTAGTGTTCCAGACAGACAGCACCAGACTCATTTGTCTTTGAAATGACAGAACGACTCAGAAGTGTGTGCATCAGTTTATTTTAATAAAGTTCAAGTTCGAAAAATAACTGGTAAATTCTGATTATAGAAAAGAAAAACCAAATTTCCATGCCAACATTCAATCTGCACTGAAAAGGGGAGCTGCAAGTTGAAGATCATATGAAGCGAATGGATTTTTTTTTTAGCATTACATAATGATCACTGCCAGAAATAGTTGGGAAAACTAAAAATCCGACATGTCATGCATCCAAATGTTGCAAACTAAATTGAAAAAGGAAAAAGAAATGTATTTGAAGAACAGCACCACTTTGTATGTATTCACAGTTCCACAAGTGAATGCAGATTCCCGCTGTAAGACCAACAGCTTGGATTTATTAGTTGAATGGGATGAAAGAGAATTGGTATGTACATGGAAAAGGGTAAGAGCTAAAAGAAAAGGAAGAGGAGTAAGTTTTGTACAATGAGAAAGGTCTCTCTTCCAAATGACTTAATAATTAAATTTATGTGGAGGGTGGAGGTTTCGAAGGTGCTGCCGCTGTCTTGCATATAGGGCACCAATTCTTAAGCCGTAGCCACTGGTTTACGCAGTTAACATGAAAACTGTGCTCACAATGTAACCTTCCAACTTCATCTCCAGCAACATACTCTTCCTGTAAAAAAAAGATAGACCAACAACAATTACTCTCTATATATAAAGAGTCAGACTAAAATGGTGGCACCTAAAAAACAAATCAAGTTTTGAGAAGTATATCCAATTACATCCACTCTAAACTTTACAGGATGTTAAATAACATTTGGAATCATGTTGAGCTAGTTCTAACTTCTGAGTTAACCAAGGAACTGACTTGGGATAGTGCAGGTTTAGGGTGAAATTTGTAGAGACAACCCTGCTAGTTTGGCCTTAAATAACCACTTAGTGCCCAAATTTTCTTAAAGCCCAATGTAAATTCTGTTTTCCTTGTACCCTGCAACTAACTTTAGCCTTAGTTGAATAAGGAGCGGCTAAGTTAGGGTAAATGCAGTTAATTTTAGCTGTTTTGGCTCATGCATGAACCACTACTAGCGAGGCCCAGAGGTGCTTCTAGATATATCATGGTTAGTTTTTACAAGAAAAATAAATAAAATCAGAACGGGAAAAAGACCTGGCAGATACTGCATTTGACATCATCCTTCTTCCCATCAAAGTCTATGGATGATTCTTCTGGAGATGTAAACTGATAAGTGCTTTTCTTAAGGCAATCTGACAATGCTTCTTCTGGCAATGCTGTGCTGACAGTACCCATCCTCTCTTCTAGGGCTAATAATTCCTGCCATCCAAGTAGGAAATACTGTAAAGGAAACAGCTGAACGTAATAAGGTTGCCCCAGATTGTGTTATTCTAAACCCACCACTAGTTGATTATTTGAATTGATTTATTCGAGGCATTGATGATAATAAAAAGTTTAGATGCATCATCATGACTACGCCAGCATTGTATTGAAACACAATAGAACAATGAGAGATACTATGGATAATTTCTATGGAAACTGAATTGCAGTGCGCAGCAATAGCAAACCTCATATGACATGTTATCAATATCTAGTCTCATGTCTCTATGCTGATCATAGAAGTTTAGGCCATTCAGGAACAAATTGGTCTCCAGAACAAGTATTTGCTGCATTATGAAAAAGAACAGTTAAAGAACAATCAACCAATTAAGTGAATATTTTTTACCCCAAAAAAGCAAGTGAACATAAAAACTCTATAGTAACTACCTCAAATGATAGCTCTTCATCTTGTTCAATCCTCTCCAGCGCCAGCAATACCTGCACAGTTTGTGAAATAGACAGATTAAAGAATGAAACCACACTACTACATCAGTTCTTTTGTGAATCTCTCCAACAAGGCAAAAAGTCATAAGACCACACAAATGTACATCAAAAATTCATATAATACCTCTGCAATCCCATCCATGTTGTAGCGTCGCAGTCCATCCTGATTCATTAGAGAGCGGGAAAAGCCAACATCTGCAGCACCAGCTCGCATAATGCTATGTAAATTCCCACTGCTACTACCTGGCCGACTATAAGAATTTGGCCGAATTAAAGGAGCTTCATGGGATAACTGTTGTAATGAACTAGGAACATTCAAGTTGATAGACATTTCAGGTTGAGACGTTTGTGGGCCAACTACAGGGGATCCATTGGCTGATAAATTGTTCCCACTTCCTTGATTAGAAAGCCTTCCCCTTGAGTGACCAGTGACAGTTCGTCGAGTCCTAACTGATGCAGCACCATTATCCCTGTTAGAAGGCATATTCCTAGCTCTTCTTGAATCAGAAATTGAGATGCCATGGCTAGAATTGGAGTTTTGTCCCGCTGATGATGACCCATTCATCTTCTTCCCCCTAGCAGCAGAGCTACTTTCTCCTTCAGAAATTCTTTTCTTTATGGTCTCTCTTCTATTGAGGCTTGAATCTGATGACGAACAACTGGACGGGACAACATCAGATATTGAATTGCATCTTAGATTTCTCAAACCATTCCTGGTTGTGCTAGCCCGTGTTGCTTGGCTGGTGTTTTTAGATCCCGAAGAAACATTAG